TGTGGAACCGCTTCGCCAATTGTAACGCGCCTGCTCGACAGCGGCGGTGTGTAATCTTCGGTTTTCACTTCGCTCAACGCTTCATACCTCGTGCTTCATTGCAACATTATGGATATGTACTCCTGTACTTGAAGTTGTCATCATCGTCTGTTCGCAGCACCAAACGCCCGTCCTGAAGGAGGACATTTCACCATAACTATAGTTACCGGTAATAGGAGAAATACGTTCATTTCCGTATGCATTTGCAGGCACAGACTTGTTGTGGACTTTTGCATCGCTCATTTGACTTCAGACTGTATCTCAAATGTCGTTGTTTATTCGTTGGGTCACGACAAACCGGATCTCTGTCCGTTACAGTACTCCTAGTACAGGTAAGATCGAACTACAAATTGCTAAAAAAATCGATACTTCGGAAGATTTTGTAGCCACTAAACATGTAGCCTAATCCTCTCAATGGTAGCGATAGGGACACCCGGTGGACGAGTGGTGAGCTTACGTACCGACGCCGTAAAGGTTCGACGAGAACACCTTACGGCAACAGTCGATGACGTTGTGCCGGTCCGAGCATTGCTCCTCGACTCAGGGCTGACTTCTTGGGGGCTTAGTCTCAGCCTTGTTGTCAGCTGGCGCATACCTAGTGATCTCGGCCATGGGACCGCAGATCCTTCGGCCTTATGGTACGGACAGTCGGCCGATCACCGTTACGAAACAAGTTTGGCTTGAAAGACTGGAGATTGGTACCGAGAGTGGACCACTCGTATTATGTGCCCTCAGAGTGTGGGTCGACAAAGCCGATGCAGCCGTGGAGCTAACACTCGGTTTACCAGTCATGCAGAGGCTGGGGTACGATGAGAACACGCTGCTCGAGAATTCTGGATAGCAGCAGACGGTCTAGGATTTTTCTCAACTGGGCTGTTCCGACACCTGACTTGGCGATGCATTGCTCCCTCCGCGTGGAAGCTAGCCGTGGTGACGATGGAAGACATTGTGCCACGTGGGAGTTGGGGACGTTACCCGACACTGCCGATGATCACGCGGGGTGTACCGCTTTGGCTGCCTCAGCCTCGGGCGTCATGGACGATTTGACCGCCAGGGACCGAGGTTCAAGGATGAACAGGCTGGCGTTGGCTCCCCCATTACACCCCGACAACGCTATACTACCGACGCTGCACTTGATAACCGCCTCGGGCTCGGCCTGCAAAATCTGTGCGACTGTGAACAACGAGGGACGATGTTATACGACCGTGGACTGTTCGATCCCAGGAGTTGCCTTGAATATGCGGGTTCATCTCGACGGAATGGATCGTGTTGACGTGAGTGGTGTATGTGGGGCTGACGCAACCCCAGCGACAATGTCGGGCGTGTTGGATTGGCTGTCGGGGACGGCAGAGACAACCCACTCAGTGATCCTGACGACAGCGGTGACAAACTTGTGTCCGGCACACTTCCAGGGTTTGGAAAATGGGGGTGGGCCATTACCTCGGTATGGCCTGAAGATACGCCGGAGAAGGCGGTTATGGCAGTCACCGCGACGACCGTGCAGTCCCTCGGCCATGCGAGTGATCTGCAGTCGATAGAGTGGCCGACGGCGTTGTCCAACGCGCAGATGGCCCTATACACTCACAGAGCTTGCCGGCCAACCTGTGACCCTCCCTATGTGAGGACTCGACCAGCAGGAGCATGACCCTCCTGTTGACGGTAACTACCCGTGCAATTGTGTATGTAGGTTCAGTCGGGTTCTATTTTTAGATTCGCCGAGGGAACAACTAATTAGTCCCTCGATGCGTCCTATTTAGGCCCACTTAGGACTTACGACCCCTCCCTGAGTAAGATCTTTGGTTCGGCGTGGAAGAAGGCGTTCCTTGTGGCATCGGTGTTGGCCGCGATCGGCGTGAACAACCATGCCGGTGCGAGTGTGGACATTGCCGCTGCGGATATTGCGGGTAGCGGCAAAGTGGTCGACCAGCTGGATGGCGCGCTTTTGAACGGCGACAAGTTCCAGTTCCAAGCGGAAGTGAGTCGCCTGATGGACATCATCATCAACTCGCTGTACAAGAGCAAGGAAATCTTCCTCCGCGAACTCATTTCAAATGCGTCGGACGCTTTGGACAAGCTTCGGTTCCTCGCGCTGTCCGACAGCAGCTTGCTGGACGTTCTCAAGGAGCTTGAGATTCGCATTTCGTTCGACAAGACCGCGCACACACTGACGATCAAGGACACGGGTGTGGGCATGACTAAAGACGACTTGGTCAAGAACTTGGGGACCGTGGCCAAGTCAGGCACGGCCAACTTTGTGTCTGCGATGCAGAACGGCGCCGACGCCAACATGATCGGCCAGTTCGGGGTCGGGTTCTACTCTGTGTACCTCGTGGCCGACAAGGTGCGCGTGGTGTCCAAGAACAACGACGACGACCAGTACATCTGGGAATCGAGCGCGAACGCGAGCTTCACCGTGTCCAAGGATCCCCGCGGAAACACGTTGAAGCGCGGGACCGAAATCACGCTGTTCCTCAAGAAGGACGCGCTCGAATTCCAGGACCAGGCCAAGCTCAAGCAACTGGTGTCCCATTACAGCGAGTTTATCAACTTTCCCATTTACCTGCACACGTCGCGCGAAGAAACCGTCGAAGTCGACGACGATGCGGGCGACAGTGTGAGTGTATTGTGATGCCTGGATTACAGCGAAGTGATTCGCTGGTTGATGGGTACATAACCTGAATGATAATGAAGTCACTTTTGGATTTGTCATCGAAGTCTACCGTCGTGAGCACGGTGCTGGTTGTGCAAGCCGGCGCAGACAACAACCGCTCCATCATATTGTGTTTCAAAGTGGTTGTTTTATCGTTGGGTCAGTACAAACTGGATCTCTGTCCGTTACAGTACTCCTAGTACAAGTAACGTTAGTATCGATATTACACATTGCCAAAATACAGTGTAATCAGAAATTCGGAGATATCTGTCACGAAGCAAGAAACAGGAGGTAGGCGTGGGTGATAGGCGTGTAGCAACTTTGCGCAGAGTGTCCAAGACAAACCAAGTGTGCGGGACAGGGGAAAAACAAAAGTGACATTCAGTCGTTTACAAACTATCTAGCATCATTCCTATTGGCTAAAACTCAGCCAAAGGGAAACACTGACCT